TTAAATCGCCTCCTATAATGCTCTGCTTCATGGAAAACCCGGTTCTGGCTGCCAACTTTTCAATAACCCGTATGTCCTCATTTGGAGCTCTATAAATGCCTACGATTTCCCAAGTGTATTTAGGGTCACTGCCTCATACCTTAACTGCTAATATTTCGAAATCATCGTCCACCCATATTTCCGAGCAGGTAATATTGTTTTTAACACAAACACACCCCCTCTCCGGGCATTCCTATCACTTTTAAAAGTCGTGAAGTCTTCCCTAAATATTTCGCTGTTGCCTGTTTTCTCCCTGCGCCATGACTCCATGCATATTATGTCAGGACCATTCATTCATTCATTCATTCATCAGTAATCTGTCAGACGACAGGTCCACAGTCTCTTCCAAAACAGTTCCACCACTTAATGCGATCTTCTGTTTTTGGAAAGAGACTATCCAGGAAAAGTGATAATGTGGTAGTTTTTTCCATTTGCTTTCCACATCGTAGTACTTTCGCATCGAAGTTTTCTGGCTTTCCTCTGTATCGTGGTGCCATTTGAGCTATTACTTCTCTGGTATACACACGTTTTGATTCAGCCATCTTTCTGTTTCTGCTCAAAGATTAAAAGTTTAAAATTTTTATGTTTATCTTAAGAAACAGTTTTCTATATTTTGTCTGCTTAAAAGCAAGTTCAATATAGATTTTGAGTTTTTCTAGCCTTGCCTGGCTCCAGATACTATAGGTATCCACTAAATTTGGAGTTAGAATAGTAAACTGTGCCTCATCCAAAAATCTTATTGTCAAAAGTCCAATGGTCCCGCATCATAACATTCAAAAGTTTACTTTGACATCTCCTGATGGAAAGACGCACAACCAAATTGACGATATTATGAAAGACAGGAGATAGCAATCAAGCATACTTGATGTTTGATCACTCCTAACAAAATGGCCAATAATGGTATGTCGTTTCGTCAGTGTGCTGTCATCGAATTTCTTGTGAAAGAGGAAATCCCTGCTGCAGAAATTCACCAGAGACTTCAGCGTGCTTATGGAAGTGTGTGCATGGGTGCGAGCAGTGTTTGAAGATGGGTGAAACATTTTAAAGATGGGAACACCAGCATCGAAGATGAGCCTCGGAGCGGTCGTCCTCGAACAGCCTCAGCTGAAGACAACAAGGAAAGAGTGGATGAGATCATTGAAGATGATAGGCATGTAACTGTGGACACAATAGCCCATAAACTTGGAATAGGGCACAGTGCAGTACAGGAGGTGATTGACCACAAAGATCAGTGAAAAGCCGTCACTTCAGAACTGCTGCAGAGATATCGACAAGAAGGCGTTGATTTTTTGCTCTGTATTGTGACAGGTGATGAAAGCTTGTTTCACCATTTTGAGCCTGAAATGAAACGGCAGAGTATGGAATGGCACCATTTGCATTCTCCATCAAAAAAGAAGGCAAAGACAGTGCCATCAGCTGCGAAGGTGATGGGCACAGTCTTCTGGGATGCAGAGGGGTTTATTCTGGCCGAAATCATGGAAACTGGGCAAACCATCAATGCTGCTCATTTTGTCCAGACACTGCACAAGCTCCGTTGTGCATTGCACGATAAACGTCCGGGACGAAACATCATCATCCTGCATGACAACGCTCGCCTCATATTGGAAGCAATTGCAAAGATGGGGTGGGAAGTTCTTCCACACCCCTCTTATAGCCCTGATCTGACACCCTCCGACTACCATCTTTTTGGATTTGTGAAGGATCGGCTGCATAGACAATGTTCTGAGACAAGGGAGGCAATTCAGAAAGTAGTGCATCAGTGTCTTTGGATAGCTGGAAAGGAATTTTACAGAGGGGGAGTTTTCAAAGTCCCAGAACGCTGGGAGAAATGTGTGCAAAGAAGTGGTGATTATGTGGAAAAATAAAGAAAGGTCTGTAGATTGAGATGGTGTATTTGTTTTGTCAATAATGAAGCATGTTACTTTACAAAAATTTGTTGCTCATGACTTTCAGTATGACCCTCGTATCTCTACTAAGTGGGTCACGTGGTAGCGTAGTTGGTTGAGGCACTATGCTACAAGCCAGAAGGTCACAGGTTCAAGTCCCGATGAGGTCATTGGAATTTCGTTTTTCATTTTATCTAATCCTTCCAGCCGCACTATGGCCCTGGGGTCGAGTCAGCCACTAACAAAAATTAGTACCAGGAATATTCTTGGAGGTAAAGGGCGGATGACGCATAGGGCTGACATCCTTGCCGCCATCTATGAGCCGATGGTCTAGAGAATGTGGGAACCCCGACATCTCACAATTCTATGAGCCTCCACGGCCCGTTCCAAGGATTCATTCTTCATCAGTAATCTGTCAAGACGACAGGTCCACAGTCTCTTCCAAAACAGTTCCTCCACTTGATTTGATCTAGAGCTTTCTCCTTCAAATGAGAATATCCTTGTCAGTCCCCAAGGTCATCCAGCATCTTCTTACATCTTCCTCGTCTTCTGGTCATTTCTATCTGCCCCTCTATCTTTCCTTCAATAACTTCTTTTAGAAGGCAGTTACCACGTAAGATATGACGAATCCAATTAGCCTTCTGTTTTCTTAATTCATGTAGGATATTCCTCTGCTCACTGACTCTAATTAACACTTCTTCATTTCTCACATAATCGGTCCAACTGATCTTCTCCATCCTTCTCCAACACCACATTTCGAAACTTTCCAGATGTTTCTGATCTACTGCCCTAAGTGTCCAAGTTTCAGCCCCATACAGAGCAATGCTCCAAATGTAGCATTTCACTAGTTTCTTTCTCAAATTTAAGTCGCATTTGCTGGTAAGAAGATTCTTCTTCTTGCCAAATGCAGCTTTTGCCATGGCAATCCTAGATTAAATTTCACTAATACACCTTCCATCATCTATTAACAAGCTACCCAAATATTTAAAACATTTCATATTCCCCAGTTCTTTATGGTCTATCTTTATTGTGACTGGGGTTGGTTGTCTCGAAATTTTCATTACTTTTGTTTTCTCCACATTCATTTCCATGCCATAGCACCTTCCAATTTCAATTAGTCTCTCAGTCATGCCCTGTAGCACAGTTTCTTCCTTAGCCATTAACACAAGGTCATCTGCATATTTCACAGTTTGAACAATTTGCCCTCCTACTTTGAAGTCTCCGAGCCCACTTCCGAGAATGTGAAGTGTTTTAAATATTTGGGTAGCTTGTTAACAGATGATGGAAGGTGTACTAGTGAAATTAAATCCAGGATTGCCATGGCAAAAGCTGCATTTAGCAAGAAGAAGAGTCTTTTTACCAGCAAATTGGACTTAAATTTGAGGAAGAAACTAGTGAAATGCTACATTTGGAGCATAGCTCTGTATGGGGCTGAAACATGGACACTTAGGGCAGTAGATCAGAAACATCTGGAAAGTTTTGAAATGTGTTGTTGGAGAAGGATGGAGAAGATCAGTTGGACCGATTATGTGAGAAATGAAGAAGTGTTAATTAGAGTCAGTGAGCAGAGGAATATCCTACACGAAATAAGAAAACGGAAGGCTAATTGGATTGGTCATATCTTACACAGTAACTGCCTTCTAAAAGAAGTTACTGAAGGAGAGATAGATGGGCGGATAGGAGTGACCAGAAGACGTAAGAAGATGCTGGATGACCTTGGGGACAGAAGAGGATATTCTCATTTGAAGGAGAAAGCTCTAGATCGCATTAAGTGGAGGAACTGTTTTGGAAGAGACAGTGGACCTGTCATCGTGACAGATTACTGATGATGATGATGAAATATTTATAATTGTTACACGCTACGTATATGTACATAATTTTGCTCTTATTCTAGTACCCACTATAGCAATCTTCTAAATGAATTTTGCGGTTCAAATTGTTGCAAAATTGGTAGTTCTGCTACTGAGCACAGATGTGAAAGCAAGCATCTAATTTCCCTCCCAGCATAAAAAAATATCCAACTTTTCAAAGTCACTTCTTATTCGAAACAAGCCAGATGGCCTAATCTCTGAGATATTAAGAAGAAGATACAAACTGATTAATTTGATCAGCTTCAACATGGAATATATAGACAGTGATGCCAACTGCAGTGTTAATATAGGGAACGGTTGTGGTTCACAGAGGAATGACTGGGAATGTTGCTAAGCATATAGCAAGAACGGTAAGAATTTATGTACATGAGGATGCAATGTTTCATATTGCAAAATCCCGAAAAAAAATGGGGGGGGGGGGGCAAGGCAGGACTACTGTAGATACAGACAATAAAATAAGGGGAAACTAACAAATTCATCTGCAGTTTCATGTAACTACATGGTGCAGCCACAGGACTGGGTCACATTGTTATGAGAAGCTGAGCAGTGCTCAAGGAAGCATCTGTGCTTGCTTTATATCATTGTGTTTGATTTGGAACTGCATCCCAGCTTCAAGTAAACTTGCTTTGTGAGCTCAGATCTCAATAGTTTAGCAAATGTTGCATATCTACTTAATATACCTGAAAACCAATACGAAAAGTAGAACTTAGCTTTGTGAGCTCACATCTCAAAAGTTTAAGATGCAAAGGAATTGCTGCATATTTACTTAATATACCTGATAACCATTACGAAACGTAGAGCTTACTTAGATTCTATACGGTTCTGAACATGAACATACGGAATTACTGGGTTCGTCTCTTTTTCTAGAAAACTAGAAGAACAACCTTTCAGAAACTTTGATCATCTTTCGTCCTCTGGTGAGGGGGAGAAATCTATTCTGTAGGTTCTCTTAGATACAGCTAACTTCCAGCCCAGTGAGTGAGGTTAGCTCGTCCTATGGGACCCAGTGTTCCACGAACTTCAACTTGTGACCTTCTTCATATGACCCATATGTGACTTTCCTTTAGACATAACCCTACGTTTTTATAGCATAATGTTTTATATCAATGGCACAGTTGTGTGAGTTTGATAAAAATAACTTGATTCTCATTTCTTATGAGATTGACAGCCCATATCCATTCTTTAAATTAAATGTGACACGTACATTCAGTGTAGACCTCCAGAATTTAACATCATTTTCAGGTTCACAGTTAATGGACATGCGAAGTAATGGACTGAGATATCAGTATGATTGCATCAGTAACATTACTTTGCTAATGTGATTGTTTGCTTTTCTTACAGCTGGTTACAAGACCTAGGAACACTTGTCAGCACAGCATCTCAGACAGTTGTAAATATGGCTGACCACAACAATAATATATGAGTTCTGATATACAGCTGTAGTAACATAAAAGAGTTTTGACTGAAGCCAAATCTAACATGTTTCATATAAAGTATTTATAAATATTACTGGGTTAAGACTCCAGAAATATGCTTGCCCTCTCACCACACGAGTTAATGAAGATTACTGACTTGTACAGATTTATCCTTGGTCTGAATATATCAAACATTTAATGAGAATCATTTTTCATCATATCTAATGAGCAGAAACAGGTAAAGAATATATTTTAGCACCATTATCCCACGTTCTGACACGCAGTCATTATGTATCCCACATGAAATATATTGCAAGACTACAGTCAAATGGAATTTATGAAGCTGCTGACGCTCTGGCCTAATTATAGAGGTCATTCTTCATGCAGAGTAAGTAAATTGTATGTTTGTCTTTCAGTGCACTGCTTCCTAAAGCAAGAGATGAAATACTCACTAATATGAGCAACTGTAAGGAACATTGAACAGATCAAGACACGGGAACGGTAGCAGCATTCACGTTGCACGAGTGTCGGATTTCCAGCTGAACTGTACAGTGAGCTCAATACCTGTAAGATATTGTCATATTGCGTCCATAAATGTGGTCTCTCAAAGCTAACTAAAAGTCACTGTCTCTCTCTCATGTAATTAAATGTAGGAGATACATTAACACATTACACTAATTAACCAGACAAGTTGACAAGACAGAAATAAAAGTTGAAGCTGTCCCGTTGGCTGGCCGTGGTGACTGATAGGGCTGTGAGGCATCAAGGCTCCCACATTTTCTGCACGGTCGGGTCACAGATAGCGGTGGGGGTTGTCAGCCTTATGCATCAGCTGCCTTTGCGCCCGAGGGGATTCCAGGGGCTCGTTTCTGTTGGAGGCTGGGTTAAATTACAGGCCCATGGTGTGGCTGGAGGGATTGGGTCAGTTGAGTGACATAAATACAGAACAAGTTTCTCACTATAAATATTTAGGGTCTATAGTTAATTCAGATAACAGTGGCTTCCGTAGTCTAGAGGTAACGTTCTCACCTCATGACTCGTGGTACGCGGGTTCAAATACCCGGTGGAGGTCGTCAAATTTTTAAGGGCGGAAAAATTCAGGGAACAAGTCCTCCGAGAGGGACTTTACGCTGTGTGTCCCGTGTCGTAACATTACGGCACGTAAAAGAACCTCATATCTCCAAAGGAGATCACCGAGACAAATTCCAGGAATTTCCTGCCCAACAATAGTCTCTAAGGCCTCTGATAGATGGGGGAAGCATTACAGACACCGCCAAACAAGTGGCCGAACTCGCTTGCTCGGCGGGACTGATGATAGGCACCATTATCGGTAGGGTATAGAGACTGGTAGAATATCATAGAGGAGAAGCACAATGGGCCAATACTGGTCTAAGTGCATGGGGAAACCCAACCTTTCCAATAACTAACTAACTAACTAATTCAGATAACACAATTGAACAAGAGATTAAAGAGAGGTTAGCAATTGGAAATAAAGCATATGCTCCACATTTAACATTGCTTAAAAGTAAATTAATTTGTAAAACAAAGAAATTAAGATTATACCACATGGTAATTCGACCAACAAAAAACTACGCCTGTGAAAACTGGACACGTACACTTTTAGTCTTTGAAAGGGAAATTCTAAGAAAGATCTTCAGGCCATCATGGTTTCCTGATGGCCTGAAGATCTTTCTTAGAATTTCCCTTTCAAAGACTAAAAGTGTACGTGTCCAGTTTTCACAGGCGTAGTTTTTTGTTGGTCGAATTACCATGTGGTATAATCTTAATTTCTTTGTTTTACAAATTAATTTACTTTTAAGCAATGTTAAATGTGGAGCATATGCTTTATTTCCAATTGCTAACCTCTCTTTAATCTCTTGTTCAATTGTGTTATCTGAATTAGTTAGTTAGTTAGTTATTGGAAAGGTTGGGTTTCCCCATGCACTTAGACCAGTATTGGCCCATTGTGCTTCTCCTCTATGATATTCTACCAGTCTCTATACCCTACCGATAATGGTGCCTATCATCAGTCCCGCCGAGCAAGCGAGTTCGGCCACTTGTTTGGCGGTGTCTGTAATGCTTCCCCCATCTATCAGAGGCCTTAGAGACTATTGTTGGGCAGGAAATTCCTGGAATTTGTCTCGGTGATCTCCTTTGGAGATATGAGGTTCTTTTACGTGCCGTAATGTTACGACACGGGACACACAGCGTAAAGTCCCTCTCGGAGGACTTGTTCCCTGAATTTTTCCGCCCTTAAAAATTTGACGACCTCCACCGGGTATTTGAACCCGCGTACCACGAGTCATGAGGTGAGAACGTTACCTCTAGACTACGGAAGCCACTGTTATCTGAATTAACTATAGACCCTAAATATTTATAGTGAGAAACTTGTTCTGTATTTATGTCACTCAACTGACCCAATCCCTCCAGCCACACCATGGGCCTGTAATTTAACCCAGCCTCCAACAGAAACGAGCCCCTGGAATCCCCTCGGGCGCAAAGGCAGCTGATGCATAAGGCTGACAACCCCCACCGCTATCTGTGACCCGACCGTGCAGAAAATGTGGGAGCCTTGATGCCTCACAGCCCTATCAGTCACCACGGCCAGCCAACGGGACAGCTTCAACTTTTATTTCTGTCTTGTCAACTTGTCTGGTTAATTAGTGTAATGTGTTAATGTATCTCCTACATTTAATTACATGAGAGAGAGACAGTGACTTTTAGTTAGCTTTGAGAGACCACATTTATGGACGCAATATGACAATATCTTACAGGTATTGAGCTCACTGTACAGTTCAGCTGGAAATCCGACACTCGTGCAACGTGAATGCTGCTACCGTTCCCGTGTCTTGATCTGTTCAATGTTCCTTACAGTTGCTCATATTAGTGAGTATTTCATCTCTTGCTTTAGGAAGCAGTGCACTGAAAGACAAACATACAATTTACTTACTCTGCATGAAGAATGACCTCTATAATTAGGCCAGAGCGTCAGCAGCTTCATAAATTCCATTTGACTGTAGTCTTGCAATATATTTCATGTGGGATACATAATGACTGCGTGTCAGAACGTGGGATAATGGTGCTAAAATATATTCTTTACCTGTTTCTGCTCATTAGATATGATGAAAAATGATTCTCATTAAATGTTTGATATATTCAGACCAAGGATAAATCTGTACAAGTCAGTAATCTTCATTAACTCGTGTGGTGAGAGGGCAAGCATATTTCTGGAGTCTTAACCCAGTAATATTTATAAATACTTTATATGAAACATGTTAGATTTGGCTTCAGTCAAAACTCTTTTATGTTACTACAGCTGTATATCAGAACTCATATATTATTGTTGTGGTCAGCCATATTTACAACTGTCTGAGATGCTGTGCTGACAAGTGTTCCTAGGTCTTGTAACCAGCTGTAAGAAAAGCAAACAATCACATTAGCAAAGTAATGTTACTGATGCAATCATACTGATATCTCAGTCCATTACTTCGCATGTCCATTAACTGTGAACCTGAAAATGATGTTAAATTCTGGAGGTCTACACTGAATGTACGTGTCACATTTAATTTAAAGAATGGATATGGGCTGTCAATCTCATAAGAAATGAGAATCAAGTTATTTTTATCAAACTCACACAACTGTGCCATTGATATAAAACATTATGCTATAAAAACGTAGGGTTATGTCTAAAGGAAAGTCACATATGGGTCATATGAAGAAGGTCACAAGTTGAAGTTCGTGGAACACTGGGTCCCATAGGACGAGCTAACCTCACTCACTGGGCTGGAAGTTAGCTGTATCTAAGAGAACCTACAGAATAGATTTCTCCCCCTCACCAGAGGACGAAAGATGATCAAAGTTTCTGAAAGGTTGTTCTTCTAGTTTTCTAGAAAAAGAGACGAACCCAGTAATTCCGTATGTTCATGTTCAGAACCGTATAGAATCTAAGTAAGCTCTACGTTTCGTAATGGTTATCAGGTATATTAAGTAAATATGCAGCAATTCCTTTGCATCTTAAACTTTTGAGATGTGAGCTCACAAAGCTAAGTTCTACTTTTCGTATTGGTTTTCAGGTATATTAAGTAGATATGCAACATTTGCTAAACTATTGAGATCTGAGCTCACAAAGCAAGTTTACTTGAAGCTGGGATGCAGTTCCAAATCAAACACAATGATATAAAGCAAGCACAGATGCTTCCTTGAGCACTGCTCAGCTTNCTGCCCCGAGAAGGGCTGGCCAGACCCACATGTGGCCGTGCTTTTCCTGCAACACATCAATATAAGAGTCACTTAAGATTTGATCCTATTTGAAACTCGTCTACTGACTTGAGTTTCTGAAATTTACCTCTATATATTATTTACCAAATCCTGTTCAGGAAATTTGAGTGAATCTCTCTCTCTTAGAAAAAATGTCAATACATCATTTAGATGAAAATATAATTCATGTTAAGGAGCGGGAATTTCTTTGCTGCTTTTGTGAAACTTACCACCATAGCTTTCAAAATTGATATTGATGTATCCAGTCCCTCTAGGATGGCTGAAAAAAAGGATAAAACGACT